GATCATTTGGTAGCATTTAATATTTTACAAGAATTTGTTGAAATAAATACCATAGCCATGAAATCTAAACAGTACCATAGTTTTGACTAATAATTAAATACCTTATCATTTTCCTTTTTTGGTCATTTAAAATTAACACTGAGCAGTGATTTTCTATTTAACAAGAAATTAATGGACTATTTAAACTTACAGTATTGGCTTTTGGCATATTTTAACAAAATGACATGGTCATTTTTTCAATTGTTCAGTCAAGAGTAATTTTTTCTATTTAGTATAACACCAAGTTATTATAAGTTGTTTCGTTATTTATATCTCCTAACAATTTTAGGTCACAACAATAATTGCAATTTTAAAATTACCATTACAATTCTTGTCAAGCATTCAATATCTAAAAACAGCAACACTTAATGGAGATTTTAGTGCTTACCGTTCAACTGATGAATTCTACAAATGTAAGTAAAACCACACAAATTTGTCATTTTCTGTCAGTGATTTTTTAAGGTAATGAACGTGTTCAACGGTATCTTGAATTTTGGATCCTTCGATTCCACATCCTGTCACACTAACGTTTAGGCCACGTCCGGCATACTATGTATTGCAAAAACTATGAGGATATTTAAAATTATCCTACACATTCTGTTTGTCAGGGCTCTGCCCATTAAGTTCCACCAGTTGGTAATATTGGAAACCCTACTTAATATGGCTTTCCTTGCAACTATAAGTGCTGTTTGAACAAGTGAATAACCACTTAGTATATCACAGGTTTCTTTTTGTGTTCAGAATGGTAACTATATATTCTTATGAGTGACTATTCTTCACAGTATAATTGTCCTCTACTTTAACTGAGTGAATCGAATAGAAAGATGAACAGGAAGAATTTGAGCTGGTACAGTCTTGATGTACTTCAACGTTTGTTTCAAATATAAATGGACTTCCATCAAGTGAAGAGTCACTATTGCACCACAGGTTCCTTTGAGAGAAGCGAAGCAGATTTTCTCTATTTTCCTGTGAGTGATTAACCGCAGTTTTGTTGAGTGGAAAAGAAACTCTCACTACCTCTTCTTTCGAGTTTCTAAATTCCACAATTTCCACCAGTTCTTCTACCACTGTTTCATCTTCTTGTATTTCTGTACTGTTGCTCTCTTTTTTTACATCACCTCTGGAGCAACTGTAAAGCAATTTAATAAGGTGTTAGATATTTTTGGAATTCAAGTAAATACCAAAATATTGACATTATTATCAATGATAAAACAATCCGATAATAAAAAAAAACAAAAAACAATATATAACTTAAATTAACTTTAAATAAAACGCCTATGAAGCTTTTATTATATAAAACTGTAAGTTATATATTTTTTTTAAATTTTGAGTGCTGAATGAATAATGGGAACCATTTTCAATTAAAACAACTTTAGATAAATGTTTTTATCATTATCATGAATTACGATAGTGGTTCATGATAATAGGATCGCACAGTAATTTGCTCAAACCTAATAGAATTTATTCTTGAAACAATACTTAAAACCTTCCTTTTCAATAAGGAAAAAAAAACAACTTTGATAATAACCAAAATAAGTGATTTTACGATTGTAGACAAAATCAACATTTTCCCATTTGTTCATATTGTTACGTATCTGCTTGTTTGTTAGTTTCCGGTATAAATTCTTTCCCAGAAACTTCAGCGATACAAGTCCTTTCTTGATTGACCCAGTTTATTCTTCCTCGATACAAACTTTTTGTAATGCACAGAATTTCCACAGTCACTTTAAACTTAACAACCCTTTATAAACACACGCTATAATCACAGCGATTCACTCACTTTACTTACTGTGCCTACTGTTCGCTTGACTCAATTATCTATCTCTTCAACCGCGCTGGTTTTTCTCGCCAGGCTTATATACTAAAAAAGAGGGCGCCTCGGACAAACTCAGGCCTCCTCAATAATTCATAATCCTTCGAGAAACTCCAGCGCGCATGGTCCCAGCGTCGCGTGACTTCCGCTGCTGTAACAATATTATTATTATTTCACAAGCCTACAGTCAGATCGGCTGGGTATTTTATTCCAAAACCTAGACAGATATTCTGTATGAAACTCTGTGAATGCCCATGACCCATTTAAAAGTTGATTATTTTTTCACTGAAGGTTTATTTACATGGATATAGCCCTCCAGTGGCACAGCGGTATGTCTGTGCACTTACAATGCAAGAAACAGAGTTTTGAAATCCGTGAGAAGCAGAGCACAGAAAGCCCATTGCGTAGCTTTGTGCTTAACTTCAAACAAACACATACATCGTTATAAATACAAAATATCTGTGATGTTTTTTATGAGGGGCTGCCTTTGTACTCGTGTTAAATAAGGTTTACTGGAAACCTCAGGCACAAGGTCAACTGGTTCAAAAAATAAGTACTTTAAAAGACACGGAGCTTTATTTAAAGTGATGTTTTAGATATATTTGTTTTATTTTAAAAGGCTGATTTTCTACCATTTAAATGTTATACACCCTTAATGGGAGTTGTGTCTTACTCTAGGCATATATTTGTCCATTGCTGTGTATTAACAAACCAACATACAAGATAACTAACAATTGAGAATTTAATACTTACAAATAGGGATCGCAAAAAAGTAAGCAAACAAGGTTGGAGATCTACTGCTGTCAGTTTGCTCAAGCTACAAATAGATATTATGACTCCACTATAAAAGTATTGCTAGTGATATCTACTATATTGTGGAATCACACAGAAGTTTTACAAAAATAGAGAGTACTTTTAAACTTAATTCAATCTCCTTATCTTTGTCGTTCTGCAAAATTTTCTAAGTCCTTCACTTTCCACCATCAAAAATTACAGTGTTAGTTGGAAATGACAACTCGTGCATTCATTGAAAAACGTGGAAGGTCCCTGATTTTGTTGTTGCATGTCGTCACTCGAACAAGTTTTTAACAGTGGACGATTACCATAGTAGTTTTCCCTACTCAGATGATGGTAATGATTCTTTCTACCGTTTCTTATAATTAGCTTAAATTGTGAATGCGTATTTAGTATATATTACCACTGCATATAGCACCATTTCATATAGCTATTGCTACGACAGTGGAAGTCACGTGATGCTGCTCGCGCATGCGTGACTGAGTTTCTCGAATCATCAGAGTACACCTCGAATTTTGTTGAAGCCTCTTTGTTAGTATATAAGTGTGGCAGAGAAGCCAGCGACAGAGAGATACTTAAAGAAACTAACAGTAGTTACGGTAATATAAAGTGTGTGTTTCTACTCGTCGAGAGCGAAATTATCGAGATTGTAAATCGCTGTGATTTATAGCATGTATTATAGAAGTTGTTAAGTTTAAAGTGACGAGAAACGTACTGACTGTGGATTTACTGTGTACTAAAAGTTTGTATCGAGAAAGAATAATTAACAATAACTTAATTAAATGTACAGAAGTTACAAATATAAAAAGTCTCTTAATTTTGCTGGAGTGTATCCAGTGGCTTCATGCTCTGCTGTCCTATAGGCTATCAACAGTGCAGGGAGTAAGACATCCCAGTCATCTTGGTGGCTATTACAAAACTTGGGCAATTCCTGTCCCAGTGTTTAATTGTACTTTTCTACCATCCCATCAGACTGTGGGTGCAGTGACGTTGTCCTGGTCTTTCAGATGCCAAACAACTTGCAGCGTTCATGAAACACAGATGATTCAAAGTTACGGCCTTGATCTGAATGCAGTTCATATGGCATACTAAACCTGAAGAAGAAATCACTAATAGCCGAAGCTACAGTTGTAGCTTCCTGATTTGGTATTGCATATGCCTCAGGCCACTTGGTGAAATTATCCATCACCACACAAATGTACTTATTTCCAACACAAGTTTGGGGCAATGGACGAGCAATGTCAATGGCTACTCTTTCCATTGGTGTGCCAACTTGATATAACTTCATTGGAACACATCCCTTATGCTTTGGTCCCCTTTTAGCACAACATGTACTGCAGGTCCTGCACCATTGTTCCACATCTTGCCCCATACCTATCCAGTAAAATCTCTGCCGTAGGTGACTCAATGTCTTCGTAACTCCAAGATGTCCTCATGTTAAACTATCATGGGATTGACGCAGTATAACTTTCCATAACGTTCTCGGTAT